AGAAGGAAATAGCAACCCACTCCAGTATTCTTGCCTGGAAAATCCCATGGACAGAGGATCCTGGCAGGCTACAGTCCATGGGGTCACAAAGAGTCGGACACGACTGAGTGACTTCACTTTCTTTCTTTCTTGAGAATCACGGCACTAAATCAATGATTATTTGTGGACTGAAGTCTTAATAGTTATCTTCTCACCTTATAATGGAATAGTATGATTTATCATTTATCATTGGTCCACAGGAATCAGGAACTTTACTATCATGATCATTCAGCTACCTGATATATCATCTGATACAAAGGAAATTACATCAGTGATTTATGAAAAAATCTTCAATTTTAAATGTTTATATGTTGATTACTGGATGTTTTGTTTCTTTATCTTCACAAGGACAACATGCTATTAAAATGGGACTGTCAGAGAATAAAAAGAGTTCTTAAAAATAAAAAATATAACATCTATCTATTAGTTACCTATTGCTGTGTGATAAATTGCCTCAAAACTCAGTGGCTTAAAACAACAATACACACGTATTATTTCAAAGTGAGTTTCCATTGTTGTTGTTGTTTAGTCACTAAGTCATGTCTGACTCTTTGCAACCCCATGGACTGTGACACACCAGGCTCGTCTGTCCTCCACTATCTCCTACAGTTTGCTCAAATTCATTTCCATTGAGTCTGTGATGCTATCTAACCATCTTGGTGAGAGTGTCTTTCTGGCTTTGGAAACTAGGAAAGAAAAAGTAAGAAAATGAAAAAATCAATTAGGAAGCCCAATATGATGAATATAAGATTCAGGAAAAGAGGAGAGAAAAGAGAAGGGAGGAAACTAAGAAAGAAATTTAACAAGATTGTAAGTTATAGAGTCAACATGGAATATCTTTCTGTCTCTTACACACACACACACACACACACACACACACACACAGAAGCATGGAAGAACCTGAAAATGAACATTTAAATATTTCATTTATAACATTATAAAAATATTAATGCTTAGGGATAAATTTAACAAAACATGTGTAAGATCTCTACACTGAAAATTACAAAGCACTGCTGAGAAAAATTAAAGACCTTCCTAAATAGAGAAATATACCATGTTCATGGATTGCAAAGCTCAATATTATTAAGAAGTCAATTTCCCTCAAATAAAGCTAAGTGTGAAAGTGGCTCAGTAGTGTCCAACTCTTTGCCACCCCATGGACTGTGCCTGCTAGGCTCCTCTGTCCATAGAATTCTTTAGGCCATAATACTGGAGTGGGTAGCCGTTCCCTTCTCTAGGGGATCTTCCCAACCCAGAGATCAAATCCAGGTCTCCCACATTGCAGGTGGATTCTTTACCATCTGAGCCACCAGGGAAGCTCAAATAGAGCTAAAGGTTTAGTCAATCCCAACAAAAATCACAGCAGCCTTAAGAAAAATAAAAGTGAATTAACAATTCAAAAAGTTATATAGATGGGATTCCTTAGTGGTTCAGACAGTAAAGAATCTGCCTACAATGCAGGAGACCCAGGTTCAATCCTTGGGTTAGGAAGATCCCCTGGAGAAGGGAATGGCTAACCACTCCAGCATTCTTGCCTGTAGAATTCCATGGACAGAGGAGCCTGGTGGGTTACAGTCCATGGGATCACAAAAAGTCAGACACAACTGAGCAACTAACACACACACAAAGAACTTAGGACAACCAAAATGTTCTTGAAAAATTATTAATTTGGAGTAACTCCTTCTTTACTTTCCAGGCTTACTATAAATCTATAGTAATCATGGCAAAGTAGTATTGCAGAAAGACAAATAGATCAATAAAATAGAAGTAAAAGTCCAGAAATAAATCCATAATCACATACTCAAAAGTTTTTGTGGGGAGTGCTGGGGGGCATGTGGTGAGATCTTAGTTTCCTGACCAGGGATTGAACCTGTGCCCCTTGCATTGGAAGCACCAAGTCTTAGCCAACGGATTGCCAAGGAAGTCCCTGTAGTCAACAGATTTTTAACAAAGGCACCAAAGCAGTTTATAGGGAAAGGAAATTATTTTCAACAGGTGGTGCTGGAACCATGTGGACAAAAATAAGCTCTAAAATCTTACCTCACATTGTCTGCAAAGTTTAATTAAAAATGGATCACATAGCTAAATGTAAAAGCCAAAATTCTCATGTCATCCAAAAACATTATTAGGAAAATAAATAGTAAAGCAATAGACCGGGAGAAAATATTTGTAATTGATATATCTAATACAGGACTTGTATCCAAAATATTTAATAACCTATAATTTGATGTCTTTTTAAGTCAATGCCAAAGAATCTTCACATTACCAGATAATTGCACTCATTTCCCATGCTAGGAAGGTAATGCTCAAATGCCTTCAAGCTAGGCTTCAACAGTATGTTAACCAAGAACTTCTAGAAAAGGCAGAAGAACCAGAGAACAAATTGCAAACATCCTCTGGATCATAGAAAAAGCAACAGAATTCCAGAAAAACATCTACTTCTGCTTCATTGACTACACTAAAGTCTTTGACTGTGTGGATCACAACAAACTGTGGATAATTCTTCAAGAGATGGGAATACCAGACCACTTATAGCTGTCTCCTGAGAAACCTGTATGCAGGTCAAGAAGCAACAGCTAGAACTGGACATGGAACAATGGATTGGTTCCAAATCAGGAAAGGAGTATGTCAACACTGTATATTGTCACCCTGCTTATTTAACTTATATGCAGAGTATATCATGCAAAATACCACGCTGGATGAAGCACAAGCTGGAATCAAGATTGCTGGGAGAAATACCAACAATCTCAGATATGCAGATGATACTGTTCTAATGGCAGAAAATGAGGAGGAACTGAGAGCCTCTTGATGAAAGTGAAAGAGGAGAGTGAAACAGCTGGCTTAAAACTTCAACATTCAAAAAACTAAGATCATGGCATCTGGTCCCATCACTTCATGATGGAAACAGTGACAGACTTTTATTTTCTTGGGTTTCCAAATCATTGAAAGAGGTGACTAAGACCATGAAATTAAGAGATGTTTGCTCCTTGCAAGAAAAGCTATGACAAAACTAGACAGCATATTAAAAAGCAGAGACATCACTTTGCAGACGGAGGTTCATACAGTCAAAGCTATGGTTTTTCCAGTAGTCATGTATGGATGTGAGAGGTGGACCATAAAGAAGGCTGAGCACTGAGAATTGATGCTTTCGAACTGTGGCACTAGAGAGGACTCCTCAGAGTCCCTTGGACAGCAAGGAGATCAAACCAGTCAATTCTAAAGGAAATTAATTCTGAATATTCATTGGAAGGACTGATGCTGAAGCTGAAGCTCCAATACTTTGGCCACTGGATGCGCAGAACTGACTCATTGGAAAAGATCCTGATGTTGGGAAAAATTGAGGGCAGAAGGAGAAGGGGTTGACAGAGGTTGAGATGGTTGGATGGCATCACTGACTTAATGGACATGACTTGGAGCAAATTCCAGGAGATAGTGAATGACAGGGAAGCCTATACTCCATGGGGTCACACAGATTCAGACATGACTGAGCAACTGAACAACAACAAAACCTATTTAATGGCAATTTCCCTTTCTCCTCCCTTCAGTCTCTGGTAACTGCTATCCTACTTTCTATTCCTATGAATTTCACTACTTTAGGTATCTCATAAAAGCAGAATCATACAGTATTTGTCTTTTTGTGACTGGTTTATTTCACTTAGCATAATGACTTCAAATTTCATCTATGTTGTAGCATATGACAGAATTTTCTTCCTTTTAAAGACTGATTATTAATCTGTCTATGAAGCTTTGGGTTGCTTCTATCTCTTGGCTATTATGAATGAACAGGAATGTTAATATATGCTGTGCACTTGTACGCAAATGCCCTACTCTCAATTCTTTTGGATATACATCCAGAACTGGTATTGCTAAATCATATGGTAGTTCCATTTGCACTTTTTCGAAGAACCTCCCTACTATTTTCCATAAGGGCTGAACCATTTTGTAATCTCACCAATAGTGCACAAGGATTCTCATTTCTTTACATCCCCATCTATATTTGTTCTTTTCTTTTTTTAATAGTAGCCATCCTAATGGCTGTGAGGTGGTATTTTGTGGTTCTGATGTGCATTTCTTTGATGATTACTGATGTTGAGTATCTTTTTATACGCCTGTTGAACATTAGTGTATCATCTTCGGGAAATGTTTTGTTAAGTCCTTTGCCCATTGTTAAATAAGTTTATTTGATTTTTGGCTACTGAGTTGTAGGAGTTCTTCAGATATTCTGGATGTCTTATCACACATATGATTGGCAAATATTTTCTCCATCCATATGCTGCTTTTTCACTCTGCTATGTCATTTGATACACAAAAGGTTTTTTTTTTTTTTTTGACCATGCTGTATGTCATGCAGGGCCTTAGTTCCCCTACCAGAGATCAAACCTGTGCCCTCTGCAGTGGAAGGGCAGTGTCCTAACCACTGGACCACCAGGGACGTCCCACATAAAAGTTCTTAAGTTTGATGTAGTCCCATTTGTCTGTATATGCTTTTGTTGCCTGTGCTTTTTGTGTCATAAACAAGAAATCATTCATTGCCAAGTCCAAGGTCCTGAATATTTCCCCCTATGTCTTCTCCTAAAAGTTTTACAGTTTTGGTCTTAGGTTTAGGTCCTTAATCCATTTTGAGTTAATTTTTATATATGATATAATGGTTCAAGTTCATTCTTTTGAATGTGGATACCCAATTTTCCTGACACCATTGGTTGAACAGACTGTCCTTTTCCCACTGAGACATCATTGCACCTTTGTCAAAGATCATTTGACTATATACCTGAGGGCTTTTTAAAAGTATAGTTTTCAGAGCAGGTTTAAATTCACAGCAAGTACAGAATTCTCATGTATCCCTTGCTCCTCCCCAACCCACATGCTAAATACGCTTTCAGCTTCCTGATGTAAACTTAGATTATAAAACTTTCTTTTCAAATATATGCATGTAAAGCTACAGATCTTCCTCTAAACACTACTCTCACTGCATCTCACAAATTCTCTTAGGTCGTATTTTCATTATCTTCTAGTTCAAACCATTTAAAAATCCCCATTGAAGTGTTTTTTGACTTAGAGGTTTAGAATTACATTGCTTACCTTCCAAATATTTGTGGATTTTCTGACTTTTGTTATTTCTAGTTTAATTCTGTTGTGGTTAGAGACCATATTCTAATTTCCAGCCTCTTAAATTTGAGACTTGTTTAATGACCCTGCATCACGAACTTGATGTAGTTTTGTTATGATGGGAAAACCGGTGGATTCAGACTGTCATTTTTTTTTTTCTTCTTCCTGCTTTGGTTTTGTATAGAGTGCACTGTGGTAGCGCAAAACTAAGTTCTGCTATCTTAAAACAGTGTTCCACTCAGGGGTATGTCCTCTAAATTTACACTACAATGATTAGGATGCGGCTCAAGAAAGGAGTACCTCAAGGCTGTATGTTTGTCACCCTGCTGCAGCCCACGGGGTCGCAGAGTCGGACACGACTGAGCGACTGAAATGAAAGACAGTACTTTCGAGCAGCAGCATCGGACTGTTTGGGAACGCTTTCTACCCGTCACGGAATGGCAGGGCGGTACAACTGTTCTGAGTCCGCCACAGCTCGAGATTGACACTTCACGAGCCATCTGTGCATCTCTCGAAGCAACGGAAGTAGTACCCTCTTTTTCGGGGGTGGGGATTGACTCCTCAGAGGTGACAAAGCTAATAAGTTCTCAAAACTCAGAAGCTCTCTGAGGGAGAGGATATAAGTTAGGCAAAGCTCGAGAATGGTGGCAGAATGCCTCTTCCCGGCTTTGAGACAGCAAGTCTCTTGCGACGTCTAACGAAACAGGGCCTCGGGTAACAGCTAGCCTTCAACTCCGCGGCCCCATAACCCATCCGCAGGGAGAGCCTCCCGCAAGAACCTTTTCTACCTTTTTTCCCAGCAGCTCAAATTTCCAAGAAGAGGAACTGGGTGTGGCAAAAAAAAAGTCAGTCAGGGAACCGCCTGTCACATGACAGGAGGGAGGACCTGGGGAGCCTCTGTCCGCCCTGGCCCCGCCCCCTTGACGCCACCGCATTGACCCCGCCCCCTCCGCCGTGGGGTGGAGCACGAGGCCCCTCCTCCAAACGGCCTCCCCTCCGAGGGCCAGTCTGGCCCGTAGGGCGGGGCTAGAGGCCCAGAGGGGGCCTGGTCTAGGAGAGGGCAGGAAAGGACGGGTCACGTGCGGCCGGCGGCCTGAGGTCACGTGACGGGCGCCTGGGAGGAGGGAGCTGGGGCTAGGAGTTCTCCTGAGGGAAGAGGCGTGAAGTTGGGGGGGACGCGGCGCGGCGGCGGCGGCAGCGCTGACAATGGTGAGTGCACGGCGGCCCGCGCGCTCGCCCGCAGCCTTTGTCCCGGAGCGCGCGGCGGGACGGCCATCGGCGGGCCCGATGTCGCGGGAGCGGCTCTTGGGAGCGGCAGGAGGGGGTAGGCGGGCAGGGCGGGGAGCCGGGTTAGGCCTGTCTGGCCGCCGCGGGGCTTGGGAAGAGCGGGCTGCGCCGCTTCTTCCCGGTCTCGGCGAGGCCCGAGTACTTGCAGGTGACGAGGCGTTCTCCTGGCTTTGTCGGAGCCTCTGCCAGCGTTCTTCGATCGGCTATGGGGGGCCGTGGCTGGGTACTCGGACCCCGCCTCTGCGGGCCCGCCGCCGCCTCCCCTTCCAAGGTAGCCAGACCTTCTGCTCCTCCTGGGGAGCCTCGCTTCCTTTCAGATGGGGTGACCCAAGAGTCCCCCAGTTCCGGACTCGGTGGACTTGGTCACTGTCTTCCAATGTTGATCAGGCGCTTGATAAACTCCTTGAATCTTTTTTTTTTCCCTCTTCCTCTCTTCTTAAACTAGCATATGGTGATACCCTGCGATTTCCTGACCCCAGGTTAGCCTTAACGTTGACACTTGTAGAATGAGAGAGAAAAAGAAAAGGACGTTGGAGGGGAGGACGTGTTTAAGTCAAAGGCAGTAGTTTCGTGCCCGTTGGTTTAGACTTTGGCTCTCATTTCCTTCACCAAGCCATTCTGGAAACTTGTCTCTTTGGGATGTTGAACTGGCCTAGGGAGCAGAGGAGGGAGGGAAATCAGTACTTTAACCACAATTAGTGGGAAGCACAAGCGTGAGCACGATGGCGTTTAGCTTTGTGTGTGTTGGCGATTTCCTCTAGATTGGATCTCATTTGACTCATTTATGGTAATATTCATTTACTTGGTTCACTTAGCATGCATATGTTGAGCGCCTACTGTGTACTTTCCTTTAATAGTACCTGGTTTCCCAGAGCTCACCCAGTTCCATAATCTGCTTGAGATTTTTGGTTTAAAGACTAAGCTAGGTTTATTTTTTGAAAAAGTTATATTTGATAAATACATTTTAAAGTCAGGAATCGAGTTGCTTTAAATTAAAAAAAGAAAAGGAGCACAGAAATGTTCATTCTTAAACTTCGAGCCCTTTTCTCTTTTTTTCCTCAGATATACTTAGGCGCTCCCAGGGGCTCTGAGCAAGAGTGAATCAGCCCTTGCTCTCTTGTAGCTTATAGTCCAGAAGGAGATAAACATTTATTTGTGTGATTATTTGTTTAACGTGGAAACAAAACAACTGTGATAAGAAGGAAGTATTGGGGGACCTTGACTAGTCAGGGGGTTAGAGATGGCTTCTTTAATTGAATATAATTTGCAAAGAAAACGTAAAAGGCCCTCCTATTTTTTGCTTACATTTAAAATTACTCCTTTAATGCATTATTTTCAAGAACAATTTTTATTTTCAAGTTACTCGTGAAACAAATACAGTTGTAAAGCTTGAAAACACTGAAATAGGCACAAGTGTAATAATATATGTATGAAAATTTGCTGTTTCATTGCTCCTGTATGCACTAAGTGAATAGATTTTGAGAGCTTCTCTTCTGCCTCAGCTTGAGTTGCCTTTCTTTACATCCGAAGGATGTAGTGAAATTTCCTCAGTGAGGGCTATAAAATTCGTCTTTTAACATCCACTTGTAATTTTGCTAGATAGTAATGCTCAATGTTGGGTTACAAATTACGTGAAAAATCTTAGATTAAAGTTAGTGATGTGAAGTTTAGGATATGATTAGAAAACTGTGAAAATAATTGTTCTAATATTTAATTAGTCATATATATTGCCCTATAGTTATTTAAAGGCTACCTAAGAGTTTTAATTTGTATAATTTCTAGTATTGCTCCTGAAAATCCCATATTTTGAATACACACTTGAAGATATCTTTTCTAAAAGATCTTGGCAGTCTTTCTCTTAAGATTTCAAAAGTGCCTCTTGTAATCTCAGCAGAAGTGTATGTTAATATATCCTAACCTTCTTTACAGCTTTTATTACTTTGCCTTGTAGTCTTCACTATTCTGACAGTTCTGTATTTTCCCCTCTTTATATGAATTAGAAGTATTATCATTTGACTGTGAATAATTTTTAAAAGATTTAAATTTTGTAACTTTTTGTTTGAAATGACAGAATGTGCAAGAAGATGCACATCTTGAAATAAAAACTTTGTTTAATTTTTGGCTACACAAGGTGGCTTGTGGGATCTTAGATCCCTGACCAGGGATGGATCAAACCTGTGCCCTTGGCAGTGAAAGTGCTGAGTCCTAACCACTATTTATGAAATACGTCATGCATGCAGAAAATGATTGAGGACAACAGATAGTTTTTACATATTTTTAATGCCTAACAATTTATAAGTTTTACATATGGTGTCAAAACAAGACTTACTGTTTACAATTACTAATTGTCATTAGTTAATTGTGAAGAGTATGTACTTTTAAGTCTGTTTTATACCATTTTAATTAGTGGAAACTTTGATATTTTATTTTTGATTATTGATCTTTTAATATCAACTCTCAAATCCCAGTTCAGTTGTATATGTTAAGCATTATGTATGTGGGAAAAAGTGACCATAATATTTTGTTTCATTTGTAAAACAGTTCTTAACAGTTTTCAAATCTCATTTTTCTTGGAACTAACTCTAAGGGGGAATAAGAAAAATAAAATATTTTCCTGCTTCGGTTTTATAATTCAAATTTTGAGACTGACATCGTCTATTCTTTGATAATTGTTTCTCTCATGGCAGCTCCCCACTACCTGCCCCCTTTGCTGGATCAGTGCTTTAGAGCTAGTTGATGATTAGTAAATATCAGCTGACTGATTTTGACCTGCTATACATTCTCATATTTGTAGCTCTTAGGAGAATGTACATCATTTTGAGCAAGTTGTGAGTTTAAAACTAGGGGTATGAAAGCTAACCAGGAAGGGACAAAATGTCTTGTCAAAAGGAAAATTTGCTCTTTGTGCATTTGGAGTATAAGTACTAATCTGGTAATTCATTGAATTGCTTTCTTGAAATTATAATCCTTTTGTTAATAAAGGACTAATAAAAATAAAGAAGCAGGAATTTCCTTGTGGTTCAGTGGTTGCGACTCTGTTTTCACTGCCAAGGGCCCAGGTTTGATAACCAAGGTCCCACAAGCAGTGTGGTGTAGCCAAAAAAAAAAAAGCCACCCCAAAACAAAGAAGCAAACTCAGAATTTAGGAAAACACAGTCTCTGTTGATCATATTAATAGTATCACCCTGTGATCCACATAGCCTTAGCAGGATTGTTAACTTGTTTGCCATTACCCTTCCTCCTGAGCACAGAACTGAGCCTTAACTCAAGCTCCTTGCTCTAGACTTTACTACTGCATCAATGCCAACTTCCTGGGGGAGGGCTAGTCTTACCAAACATGCTAAGTTATGTATCCATTTATTTTTTATTATCAGGACAATATGTGTTTTACTCAAAATTAACAATCAACAAGTATTTGAATGCCTTCTACTAAATGCCACATGCTGCCTCTGGCCACTGTGTCTTCAGTGTTGAGCAAAGGATAAGGTCTCTGTCCTCATGAAGTTTATAGTTCAGTTGGGGAGTCAGGTACTCAGTAAGTACACAGATTATAATAAATGGGCTTCCCTGGTGGCTCAGACAGTAAATAATTTGCCTGCAATGCAGGAGACCTGGGTTCAGTTCCTGGGTTGGAAAGATCCCATGGAGAGGGAAATGGCAACCCACTCCAGTATGCTTGCCTGGAAAATTTCACGGACAGAGAAGCCTGGTGGGCTAGAGTCCATGGGGTTGCAGAGTTGGACATGACTGAGTGGCTAACATTTTTATAATAAATGATGAAGTAAACCTACATGGTGTTGCACTTCCCAAATTTGGAGAATTCAGTTTTGATTAGGAAGTTAGGGAAGGCCTCTTTATGGAGGTGAGTCACAGTGAAAGGACGACTTTGTTAGGATTACTTGGTCTAGGACAAGGAGACTGGGCGGATTTGAGAACTTGGATCATTTGAGGCTGGTGTGGCTGGAGGGATGAATAGAGCAAGATATGCATAAGCCATGTTAGGGAATACATTGTATATGTGTATGTTTAAAATAGCATTTCATTAAAGTAAGTGTTAACTATAGAAGGGTGCAGAAATAAGTGTACAGCCTGATGAACTTTCACAAAGGCAATATACCTGTGTATTAAGCACTCAGATAAAACCAAACAGAACATTAACAGTACCCCCAATGCTTTCTTCCAACCACTTCCTGACTTCTAATGCCACCATAATGTGCATCACGTTTTTGATTTTTTAATAAATGGAATAATACAGTGTGTATTTTTGTGTTTGGTCTCTTTCACTCAACATGTATGTGAGATTCATCTTTGTTTTCTGTAGCTGTAATTCATTCCATTGCCCACTGTATGAATATAGATAAAAATGTATGTATCCATTTTCTCATTGATAAATATTTGGATTATTTCCTAATTGGGCCTGTTGTGAACAATGATGTTATGAACATTCTTATATTGGTCTCCTGGTTTATGTGTGTAAGTTTCTGTTTAGGGTAGATATCTAGGGGTATAATTGATGGATCATTGATGTGTGTGTGTATATATATATATCTATATATATATCTATATATATATATATCTTTAGCTTTCCCAGATAATGCCAACTAGTTTTTAAAGTAGTTGTTCCAATTTATACTGCCACCAGCACATTGAAGGATATGATTGGGTTTTCTGTTGCACTGCACAGCATTCCAAATCTTAGTTCCCCAACCAGGGATTGAACCTGTGCGGGTGCAATGGAAGCGTGGCATCCAAACCACTGAGCCTCCAAGGAAGTCCCCAGATTTATGTTTTTAAGAAATAACTCTGTGTAAATTAAAAAAAAAAAAAACAAGAACTAGAAAACTAGCTTTTATAGCAGACAAAAAATAGTCCACAACTATATCTGACATTGGAATAGCCAATGGATTCTGTATTATTTCCAGCTAATGCGTTTTGCCATTCATAAGCAATTGACCTTTGCTCCTTTACTTCTGTCATATTCAGGATTTACAGAACAAGGCTTATACACTCTGTTTAGAAAAATTAACAAATTTAATTAGTCTCCTCTATTAGAGCCAGTTTTATTTCAAGGGTTTACACAATGTAATATATCCTATTCAGACTTATATAGCAGTAGGTTTTCCATATGCAGTACATTGTAATAATTCATGAGTATTTGGGATTGTATGAGTTTCATTATAGCAGTATAATGAAAGAACCTCAAAGATGTATAACTAAAGGCAACTTTTCAAATCCAGATGATAAGATTAATTTTTTAGATTTTTGGGGTATGTTAGTATTTAATTATTTATAGTGGTTAGTTTTGGAAATGATTGAAATTATAGTGTGTTTCAATTTGTTTAGTTTTGAGGGGGGCTTTTTATTTTATTGTGGTAGAAAACAAATTTATCTGCAATAAATTTTTAAGGGTACATTGCAACATTAGCTATATGCATATTTTACAAAATTTATTTAGTTTTGATGCAGTATTTGGTATGAATTCTTCCTTCATCCTGAATTCATAGGTTAACTTTAGGTTATAGGTAATCAAGTTTGAATTTTAAACTGTAGTGACTGACAAAACAATTGTGAGAATTTTTCTTTTATTTTAGAGTTTTCTTGGAGGATTTTTTGGTCCCATTTGTGAGATCGACGTTGTCCTTAATGATGGGGAAACCAGGAAAATGGCGGAAATGAAAACTGAAGATGGCAAAGTAGAAAAGCACTATCTTTTCTATGATGGAGAATCTGTTTCAGGAAAGGTAAATATTTTGTTTGGAGAATTATCTCGTTGTAGAATATTAGAATTAGTCGTGAAAGTGCCTTGTGCTGTATCTAAATTTGAATGATTTTATTAGAGATGGAAAATGTTTTTCAGAAGGTCAGCTAAAAGCTTTGATTCAACAGAACACTTGCAGGAAAGAGTCTTAAACTGAAATGGTTACTGGGCAGAGTCTAAATTAAACTGTGTGGAGAATTTTGTGTTTGTGACCATGTGAATCTGTTTAACCTCAGACAGTTTCTACAGTGGGGCTGTGACCCACTCACAGTTTGTTTCTCCTTGAATTGAGTTATGGAGATTGGGGATAATTCTCTAGTGCCGCTTTCTAAAAGTGTTTTCTCATTCTTTGTAGGTTATCAGTCTGTACTACTGTCATTGTGTCTGTTGATCTCATTTCTTGATACTCTATAGAGGATTTAAGCACATTTAGAATGTGTCCATGCGTGGTCAGATACATTTGTGATACCTTATGTGGTTTAACTTTTCCCCCCTTTTCCTTGCCAAGGATTATTCTTATACCTTATGGAATATGATTACTACTCATTAATTTGTGATACTGAAGAATGGTAATATCCTAGATAAAATCAAATCATAAAACGTTTGAAATAATTTTTATAAATATAAAAGATTAAAAAAACATTAAGAGTTTTTCTCTCCTGCTTGTTAAGGTAATACATACACATGGCAAACCGTTTGGGAAATAAAATAATTATCTATAGTCCCATCATATGGAAATAACTCACTATTAAAATTTGAATGTGTTTCTTCCTAGTCTCTCTGCATTAGTTAATGTTTATGTATATGTAATATATTAAACATACCTTTTCCCTACTGTTGGATATTTAACTAGTTTCTATTTTTCAAATTGCTTGTAGTACATCCCCGTATCTTTAGTAATACAGACATTTTATACATAAGTTTTTCTTCAGATTTCTGTAGGATAAGATTATTTCCTTGGAATGAATTCCTAGGAGTGGCTGGACATGAATATTTGACATGAATATTTGAAGGGTATTGATACATCTTAACCTGGAAAATTTGTATGAAATCTCATGTTCACTTAATACCTTGTTTGACTCAGGGTAGAGTTGAATATGGTCACTTTTTAACCTTTGCTATTTCTGTAGGCAAAAATGATACTATTCTTTGATAGCATTCTTTGGTTACTAGATAGGTTGAATTTAGGTTTACTAGCTGTTTTACTGCATCATCTATTCTGGTCCTTTGCTACTTACTGGTGTCTTAGTATTAAGTCTGAAATAAATGTTTTGCTTTTCTGCTTTGCCCTTCCTTTAAAATGATGGGGAGAAAGAGAAGAAATCTGAAAGAGAGTGACAAATTCATTAAAAGGATGGAACACATCAAACAAGTAAATAGTGTTTGATCTATGGAAAAGATGAGTTGTTAATATGGTGGGATTAGAAGGGGTGGAAGGAAATGGCAACCCACTCCAATACTCTTGACTAGAAAATTCCATGGATGGAGGAGCCTGGTGGGCTACAGTCCATGGGGTTGCAAAGAGTTGGACACGACTGAGCGACTTCACTTTGACTTTGACTAGAAGGAGTAGAGATACCAATCTAGTTTTTCTAGGGAGAGACTGAACCTCAGATTTTCAAAATTTATAGATATAACACCACCAAAAACAAGTCTTACCACACTAGTTTAGGCTTTGTAAAATGTCTGAATATAGTTAAAAGATCTTTGGGCTAGGGTTGGAAGATCTAGCCTTGGACTTTACCACTGTCTTGATAGGTAGCTCTGGGCAGTCATTTACCTTTCTGGATCTCACCTGTAAGTTGATGTTGGACTAAATCATTGATTTCCAAACTTTGTTATGCATTGTAGGAAGAATACTTCATGTATTAGAAAAAAAAATCTTAGAGACTGGAAGACCTGACATCCTACCCAGAGCAAGAATATTCCTGACTTGTGAGCTGTCTATGTATACCTTTTTTTCCAGGTTTTTGCTAAGAGTAGTTTTAGATTTATGTAAAATTGAGAAGGAGGTATAGAGATTTCCCATTATCGACATCAGCCCCTAGAATGGTACATTTTTTATCAAGGATGAACTTACATTGACACATTATAGTCACCCAAAGTCTGTAGTTTACCTAAGGGTTTACTTGTGGTGATGTATATACTTCTATAGGTTTGGACAAATGTATAATGTATAATATATAATAATAATATACTCTACAAATGTTGTGTTTCCTTTTCATTAGTGCTTTTTGTATCCTATTTAAGACATCTTTGCCTACCTTGTGGGCATGAAGATATTCTCCTGTTCCCCCTATAATTTTAAGTAGTTTTATATTTCACATTTAGATTCTCTGTTTCTTTAAATTGATTTTGTCTTTATGACATGAGTCAGGGCTACTTATTATTTTTTTCCCCATATGGATATCTAATTGACCCAGGACATTTATTGAAAAAGCCATCCTTTCCACCACTGCATTGTAGCATCACCTTTGTCATTAACCAGAGGTTGTATGAGTCTGTTTCAGCCTCTCTGTTCTATTCCATTGTTTTATTTGTGATATATACTTTCATTTCTTTTTTTAAAAAAATAGCTTTATTGAGTTATAATTCACATATCATAAATTTACCCTATTGAGTATATACAGTTAAGAGATTTTCACTACTTTTGCAGAGTTGCGCAGCTGTCATCACTAGCTAATTCCATAATGTTTTCATCACCCAGAGGAAACACCATAACATCAGCAGTCATTCACTTGGCACCATATACTCAATGTTTGTGTCCTCATAAGATTCATGTGTTGAAACCCAATGCCTAGTATGATGTACTTGTAGGTGGGGTGGGGCCGAGTGGAGGGGGAAGGGGAGAGGCTTTGGGATTAGCATCCTCAAAGAAATCTTGTGTGCATCTTCTGACATGTGAGGACATAGTGAAAAGGCAGCCATCTGTGAACCAGAAAGCAAACTCTCCCAGACACCAAATCTGCTGGTGCTTTGATCTTGAACTTCACAGGTTCCAGAACTGTTAGCAGTAAATTTGTGTTGTTTTTAAGCCACCTAGTCTGTGGTTTTTTTGTTACAGCAGCCTGAGTGAACTAAGACACCTAACATCCACTAATCTACAGATGTACTTTCTTTCTCTGTGGATTTGGCCTGTTCTGGACATTTGTTGTAAATAGAATCATACCACGTGCCGCCTTTGTGTTTGGCTTCTTTCACTTAGCATGATGTCTTCAAGGTTTATTACTTTTAAGAAAATTTTTGGTCAATAATATAATAAAATATGCTGTTTTAACCATTTTTAATGTATATAATTCAGTAGCATTAATCACATTCACAGTGTTGTACAATCATCACCACTATTTTGAAATTTTTTCATCATCCTGAACTGAAACTTTGTACTCATTAAGCAATAGCTGTCCTTTTCCCTTTTCTCCCAGTCCATGAATACCTCTAGCCTACTATTTTTCCCTGTAAATTTGTCTGTTCTGGGCTGCTTCTGTTTCATGTAAGTGGTTACACAATATATGTCTTTTTGTGTCTGCCTCATTTCATGTAGCGTAATGTTTTCAAAGTTCTTTCATGTTGTAGCATTTATCAAAGCAGGATTCTTTTTTATGGCTGAATGATATTTTAGTATATATCTGTCTAGTATGTGGATGTACATTTCTTCATCCTTCAGTAGAGGACATTTCAGTTGAGTATACTTGGGTTTCTATTTATTGATCATTAACATTTCTGTACATTTGTGTATATGTTTTTGTGTGACTGTGTTTTCATTTCTCTGGAGTGTAGACTTAAGAATGGAATTGCTGGGTCATGTGTTAACTTTTAGGGGAACTTCCAGACTTTTCCAGAGCAGCTGTGCCATTTTATATTCTCTCCAGCAGTGTATGAGAGTTCGTTTCTTCACATTCTTGACAATACTTATTATTGTCTGTATTATTTTTTTGTGGGTAAAAAGTGGTCATATGGTTTTTATTTGCATTTCCTTTAATGATGAATAATATTGAGCATCTTTTCATGTGCTTATTGCTGGTTTGTATATCATCTCTGGATAAAAGTCTGTTCATTTATTTGACCATTTTTAATTGGGTTATTTGTCTTTTGATCATTGAGTTGTAAGAGTTCTTTATGTATTCTCGATACAAGTCCTTTATCAGTAATATTTTGCAGACATTTTCTCTACTTCTGTAAGTTGTCTTTTCACTTTCTTGATGGTATCTTGAAGCACTAGTTTTTTGTTTGATGATGTCCAATATATCTTTTTTTAAAATTTCACTTCTCATGCTTTTGGTGTCATTTGAGAAAGTTTCCCATCAGAGATAATGAAGATTTACACCTGTGTTTTCTTCTAAGAATTTCATAACTGTAGCTCTTACATTTAGGCCTTTGCTACATTTTGAATTAATATTTGTGTATAATGTGAGGTAGGGATCCAATTTCTTTGTTTTGTATGTTGAGATTGAGTTGTTCTACCATTTGTTGAAAAGAATGTTCTTTCCCCATTGAATTGTCTTGGGACTCCTGTAGCATATACTTTTTTAAAGTTAAACTTAATTGCTGTTTGTCAAAAAAAAGGCTGCAAAGAAGGAAACACAATTACCCATAGAATTTTTCTTTTCTGTAGTTTAAAATATATAATTGGCATTATACTTGTATACAATTTGACCATGCTTCCTACATGTAACATATCATGCACATCTTCCCACATCATTAAAAATTCTTTGACTGTATTATTTTTATACTTTAATTATACTCCATCATGTGATATACTCCAATTTAATTATTTACTTCTTTTTCTGACATATTAGTTTGGAAGGTGAGTAACTTAACTCATCCTGGTTATAGATGTAGAAGATATAGAAGCATGAATATTTTAATTACAGTTTATAAACAGAAGTATTTGAACTTCTTTTTATTGGTTCTTGATTTCTATTGAGAAGCATTGTTTGAAAGAACAGCTTTTAAGAGTCACATTACCAATATTTTTTACAGTAAAGAACAAACCTGGGAGTATATATTTTTTTGTATTTTAGCTAATCCGTAAATGGTTGAAATTTTGTTTTTAATATCTGTGTACTTTATATTTTGTCAAAATATATAATATTAAGGTTTCCATTTAGCAGATACAAATTTAGGGATTTTAGATTATATACTTTATTTCAAAAGTATGTAAGCTATATCATACTCAAAATTTAAATCTTTAGACATTCTATTTTTAGGATGTGTAGCAGACTCAGGGCAATAACTGTTGCTTTTAATATCAAAAATTATAGCAATATATGCTTGGTTATAAAAAGCTGAAAGTGATCTTTTAGGTCAGTTCTTGGAATTATTAATAACCTTTATATTAAGATGCTATTATAGAATTGTTTAACTATTTGACCAGAAAACATATTTGAATAGTTGAAAGTTTTCCCTTTTATTGATTCTTTGTAGTTCTCCAGCTCTAAAGAAAGATTCCTTCCTAACAAAGCAGATGCTTTAAATGTATGTATAAGTAATAAGTTCATTAGTGATTGTATAGGAGTAAGTTTTACCTTCTCTGGAGCTATAAGGTCATCATAATCTAGGTATGTGGTGGTTTCTCAGACTTCAGAAATGAACACCTGAAGTATTTATATATTATATTCATCTGGAAGCAATCTGTTAGTAGGCCCACAAAGGATTGTTAACATCTCTTATAATTTCATGTTTTGGCAGGTGAACCTAGCCTTTAAGCAACCTGGAAAGAGGCTAGAGCACCAAGGAATTAGAATTGAATTTGTAGGTCAAATTGGTGAGTTTTAAAATAGTATTACTTTTTTTGTTGTTAACTGAGTTTGAAGAGGCAGTTAAATAATTGAATTAGAGTTTAGCTTTATGGAAAGAAGGAATTGATTTTGCATAATAAAAGGATTTATTTTATAAACATTAAATAATCATGTTTCTTTTAATTCTATTAAATGATATTTGACTCATGCTGCATTTACTTGTGATGAAATCTGATTATTAAAGGTGTGAGGAATTATGTAAGCTACCAGTCTTGAAAAATAATTCAAGTAAATTAGGTGACTCCCTGAAATTTCCATCTGCCTAGGTTTTTCACCAGCTTTATTCACAATTAGCAGTGTCACCTTCATCCTTCACTTGCTAATTACTCATGCCATTTGTCTTCCGAACTTTTATACCTGTAGCCAGACTCACCTGTCAACAGAAAATTTCATGTGAAAAGGAAAGTTGTAATTTCTTCTTAACTTAGATCAACTTGTGTATGTTTCCATACATATATTTCTTGCTTTAGCAGGAGTTAAACTATATTGGGCAAATCCTAACTACACTAAAGGAATGAATTCTTTCATAACAGATATTTTCATTTTGCTATACCACTTGAATTTTTTTATGCCTATGTGGAGCAAAATAGGATAATGGAATTCAAATCATAGCTCTGATATTTAAAGTGAAGGCAAATCCAAGTAATTTTTTTGATAAAAATTACTTGCTTTGGAAGTAGAAGTTTGGGTTTTGATGAGATGGATATCAAACATAATTGGTCTTTCACTTTTTAAAATTTCTTAGAGCTTTTCAATGACAAGAGTAATACTCACGAATTTGTAAACCTAGTGAAAGAACTAGCCTTACCTGGAGAACTGACTCAGAGCAGAAGTTATGATTTTGAATTTATGCAAGTTGAAAAGCCATATGAATCTTACATCGGTGCCAATGTCCGCTTAAGGTATGAATTGATTTTGTCTACATTTTATGTTATGCAAACCAGAAGGTAATGACTATTATTGAATGTCTTGAACTTCTAATTATAATTTTGGACTGGAAGACTTAAGATTTTGAAAATTCTTTCAAATATATATATATTTTTTGTCTGGCTAATCCATATCTGATGTAATAAGATCCTTCTATCAGGGGTGTGTGCGTGTGTGTGCGCGTGTGTGTGCACGCGCACTTAGTCATGTGCAACTCTTTGCGACCCCATGGACTGTAGCCTGCCGGCTCCTCTGTCCATGGAACTTTCTGGCTAAGAATACCAGAGTGGGTTGCCATGTCCTACTGTAGGGGATCCTCCTGACCCAGGGATCGAACCTGCATCTCTTGGGTCTCCTGCATTGGCAAGCGGATTCTTTACCACTGTTCCACCTGGAAAGCCCTCTATAGGATTCAGAGAATCCCATTAGAAGTTTTAGTCATATACTTCCCTTGTATGTACCTTAGTTTCTTAGATACTTCATTTGTCTTGTAAATGGAATTACCCTCTAAATCCATTAGTTTTTCAATGAATCTCATTTAGTCTATGGTTAAGAAGTGATGTAGAAAAAAAAATAATCGATCTAGAGAGATGTCCTCAAATAAGCTTGATGGTAGTACTCCAAATTGATTTAAAAAGTATGTCCACTATTCTTAAAATTGAACTTTGTATTTTTTCCATGGTGAAGGCATTTATTTAAAAATGAAAACTTCTTCATGAAGTAAATTGATCCCTAAGGAATTTCAGGAAGGAGAAAGCTAATGTTTGCTTATTTAAAACATTGAGATATCTCACAGGAGATTTAACTTGTTCTCTCCATTAACTTTTGTAGGTATTTTCTTAAAGTGACAATAGTAAGAAGACTGACAGACTTGGTAAAAGAATATGATCTTATTGTTCACCAGCTTGCTACCTATCCTGATGTCAACAACTCTATTAAGATGGAAGTGGGCATTGAAGATTGTCTACACATTGAATTTGAATATAATAAATCAAAGTAAGTACCTTTTACAAACATAAATAGTCAGGGAAAATTAAGAAATAAACCTTTTATGTCTTTGTAAATTGGTCAAAGAAAGGATAAAATAGACATTAATCTGATGTTAACAGACCATCAGAATCTGTGAACTGAAAGAAACTTTAGTAGGAATTTGGTTTTGTTTTAGTAGGAATTTGACTTGGTGTAGATGTCTTTAGTATTCTATTCCTGGTAAGACTCCGCTTGGCCGTATTTTAATAGAGGATCTCACCATCTCAGAAGGCAGCTAATTCTGTAAATCTGTGAAAATTTATCTTACTCTTTTGGCATCATTTTAGCTGGTCATCTCTTTAAAAATAAGCAAAAATGCTCTTTTTTTCTGACTACATTTCAGTACTTTTTTATTATTAAAAAAATTGACAATGTAGAAAAGTCAAGGGAAATAAAAATACCACATATTTTCACCTTTACCACTTAACCACTATTAATATACTCTTGTATAGCTTTCCATGGGAGGGGGCATATATATTTATATATGTTTTTTTTTTTTTTTTTTTCAGAAATGGGCTGTTAATTTTATTTATTAATGTCTTTTTAAACTTTCACCAAAGTATATATCTAAAAATATTAATAATTTCTTAACATGTTCACATATCTAGTCAGTATTCATTTCCTTAAATGACTTATAAAGTTTGTTCATGTCAGTATCCAAACAAGATTTGTTCAAATCCAATGGATCCAAACTCACTTAACAAACACACTAATCAAAAAACATTTGGTTTTCTGATACTTAAATCTGTTTTATGTTTTCCGTTTTATTTATTTTTTCATTAAAGTTTGTTTGTTGAAGAATGGTCATTCTTTTATCCTTTTCTTGTGCACTCTTCTGGTATATGAATTTTAAAAAATATATCTGTGTATTATTGACTGTGCTGGCTCTTTGTTGCTGCGGGCGGGGTCTCCTCTCTAGTTGATGTGTGTGGGCTTCTCATTGCAGTGGATTCTCTTGACATGGAGCACGGGTTTTATGGTGAGCACGCTTCAGTAGTTGGGACTCACAGACTTAGTTGCCCCATAGCATGTGAGATGGTCCCAGACCAGGTATCAAACCTGTGTCCTATGGATTGCAAGGTGGATTCTTAACCACTGGGCCACCAGGGAAGCCCTACATGATTTTAATTGCTTGTCATGTCCCAGTTTATATCACTGAAATTGTGATATACATGTGTTCAGAGTCTTAAATGATATTGTTGAAAAAATGATTAGGACCTAAAACTTGTCACTGGAAGTCTCCCTTCAGAGCGACATAATTGCATTAGTCAACTCTTGGGATATTATTTTGAGATTCAAACCTGAGAGAAGGTTTAAAAAAAAAAAAAGCCCTCTGGGAATTACAGAAGTTCCCAGGTTTATTACCACATTATTTCAAGATTCTTGGGAAAATTCTTTGATTATTAGGTATTACAGCAAAAAACTCAAGTCTATGGAGTCTCTTTGTGACCAGGTGATTTTTTAACTGTACTATTCTAGCACTTGGAATAATACACTAAACAAATGTATAAAGTTTTAAATGTTTGGAACATCTTCATATGCCAAACATTTTCAGGCATAAAAATCTTAATTTTCCTCGCTTAAGTTCTTTAGAAATGAAGTTGACCTCTAAAGAGGTGACTAACAATTACTCTGGCTAATTTTTCCCTCTGAGGTTTACTGATGATTGAGTAAAAGTTTTTTTTTCCCCTAATTTTTATAGTAAAATGATGAATACTCTTTTGAAAAAAAAGGAACATTAAATACATGAATAGCCAGAATGTTATTCTTAAATAGTAATTATCCTAAGTGAAGTCACTCAGTCGTGTCTGACTCTTTGTGACCCGGTGGACTGTAGCCTACCAGTCTTCTCCATCCATGGGATTCTCCAAGCAAGAATACTGGAATGGGTTGCCATTTCCTTCTCCAGGTGATCTTCCCAGCCTAGGGATCAAACCCAGGTCTCCTGCATTGCAGGCAGACGCTTTACCCTCTGAGCCATCAGGGAACTCAGTAATTATCCTACAGATATCTAATAAACCTTTTCAGGACATATTTCACTCTTTGTTTTGTAAACTGATATTTAGTAAGTGACAAATGTTCTTTCCTTAAAGGTATCATTTAAAGGATGTGATTGTTGGAAAAATTTACTTCTTATTAGTAAGAATAAAAATCCAACATATGGAGTTACAACTGATTAAAAAAGAGATCACAGGAATTGGTAAGTTAAAGGGTACTTGAAGTTCATTTTAGTTGAAATTTTAAAATCTTAAAATACTGTTTAAACTTAAATATCCACCTTGGCTACTAACTTTGATACTTAATATTGCTGGCAGTGAGTTACTCATTTATGTTTTGAAAAATTAGTTTTTGAGTAGATAATTCAAATGGTTCAAAAATAAAATGTGAATGATCATACAGTAATAAGTGTCCTATTTGTGTATTCCAGCTACTCATAGGTGATACAAGTTGTAAAGTCGTTTAAACATTTATTCATACACATGCAAGTGCCTCTTTATTACACCCTTCCTTTTAGTCAAGTGGTTATGTACAGTGCATACTGTAGAGACACTTCAGTTAACAATATCATTTCACATATGTTGGTTTATGTGCAAAATAAAATCTTAGAAGTGGAATTGCTGTTTCCAAGGATATATTCATTTGTAATTTTGATTATTGCTATCAGTTTGTCCTCTTTACGGACCGTACCAATTTGCATTACTACCAGCAATGAATGTAGGAAGGTGCCTTTTTTGCCATGTGTTCTCATAAGCACAATGTTATAGAACTTTTAGCTGATCTCATGGGAGTTGGGAAGAGGTTCCCCATTGTAGTTTTGATTCATTTTTCTCATTCTGAGTGAGGGTGAACATCTTTTCACGTGTATAAAAGCCGTTTGTATTTCTTTCCTATAAACTGCCCACCCATATCCTTTGCCCCATCTCTATTGAATTATTAGTCTTTTCCCTTTGATGTGTAGAAACTCTTTATATATTAGAGAAATCAATCCCATTTTCTGTATTAAGAGCAGCAAAATTTCCCCAGTTTGTCTTGCTTATGGTAGTTTTTACCATGTAGAAGTTCTTGACATTTGTGTAAGTCACATTTGTCAGTTTTTCCTTTTACGGATTCTGGCTTTTGTACCACAGTGAGAAAGGCCTTTTTTACATTGAGGTTCTAAAAATAATTTTCTGTGCTTGATTCTACTAAAGTAATACATTATAGTTTAGGAATTTTGTTTAAAGTTTTAATTCATTTGGAATTTGTTCTGATGTAAGCAAGAAACACCTATGGGTCCAGCTTTACTTTTCTCCAGATAGCTGATGAGTTACTCCAAATCATTTATTGGTTCATAACTGCTTTTTAAATTTTCTTTCTTTTTTTTTTTTTTTTGGCTGCACTGTGGGGCTTCTGAGATCTCAGTTCCTTGACCAGGGATCAAACCCATGCCTCCTGCAGTGGAAGTGCAAAGTGTTAACCACTGGATCTCCAAGGAACTACCTATTGTTTCCCCTAGTTTTAATTAGTATATAGATTTAATTTGTTCCCTTTAACTTTCCTGGTTTTCTGCTAAAAAGAATTTTAGGAACCACTTTTTAAGAATTTATAATTGATGTCATAAACATCTGTAGTTTCTTAATCTCCATTTTTTACCTGCTAAAGTGATTTAAATATATTAAAACCAAACTCCAGTTCCCCATTTGTTGTTTAAAAAATTATTTAAACATTTTTTCTAGTTATAAAAATTATGTTTGGGTGTTGTAGAAAATTTTAAATAAGAAACAATTTGTACTCATAATCCAGAAAAGAACTTAGTCTTTGTATGTTATATACTTTACAACATTGGGATCATTACTATATGTTTTGCTGTACTTTTTAAACTTGTATCATTGACTCTTCATAAAGAACTATATGTCAATTAAGTATTCACTTTGATATTTTATCTCTGTTAAAGTTAACAAGAGAAGACATTTTGGGTGTTAGAGAGAAAACCAGCATGTTGGTGCACTGCTGTGCCTTTCTGGTTTCTATTTTAGCAGATGTTAGAAATGATGGAAGGAAGTCTGAAGATTATTTCTGAGCGTATACAGTTGACCTGTGAATAACACGAGGTTTGAAATGCGTGGGTCCACTTACAGTGGATTTTGTTTAGTAGTAGATTTTACACTACTATATGATCTGCAGTTGGTTGAATCTGCATAGAAAGGACTTCAGCCCCTGCAGTTTTTCAGGTGTCTACTGAATTACCTTTGAGAAGAAGGGAGTGAGACCTCAGTTGGGTGGTAAATAAGTGTAGATCAAGAAATAGAAAAGAATGATCAACATTTTCACAAAAGGGGGAGTCAGGACTAAAATAATGTAGTCAGAAAATAGGAAGAAGGTGTAAGCCTAGAAATTATATTCTAGCAACATTTAATATCATTTACATTATTGCCCTAGGACCCAGTACCACAACAGAAACAGAAACAATCGCTAAATATGAAATAATGGATGGTGCACCAGTTAAAGGTAATAAACTTTTCTTTTACTTCTTTTGTGTTACAGGTAGTACAGATAGCAGTGTTCATGGCAGTTTAGCTTGAAAGTATTTATTCAGTATGAATATGTGAATTCTTAAAATGATTTTTACAATGATTTTTAAGATCATCTTTGTATAAATACTGAGGAGACTGTAGTAGTACTTTCTGGTTTGAAATAAGGTTTAATTTTTTACTCAGCTTAAATTTAGGATTTAGAAAAGACATTTATGTATATCTGTTCCCTAGTTCTGAATTTATAATATTTTGTCTTCTGTTACAAGAGTTTCTCTCTAAATCTTTTTTTACTCATGCTGAACATAAGGTACAGTATAGCTGAGCATTTGTTCTGTGGGATTTTGGAGTTCTATATAGCCCCCAAGAAAATAAGCAGCTCCCTTACTAAATAATTTGCAGTATCTAAGATAATGAAGCCAGTATTTATCATTTTAAATTTTTGTCTTTGGCTTTTTCTCACTCTGTTAGTAATTACTTCAGAGAGTAGTTAACCATTTATTGAGTGCCAACTATTGATGAGGCATTGTATTCTCAGGTGCTCTAAAGTTCCCTTCCATATACACTTTGAGTTAGGTAGTGGTAGCCCTTATTTTATCCCTGAAACTGAGATGTAGAGGTTAAAAACTTGTTAGGGTAGGCAGAACTACCTCTATCCACTTAGATTTTCAGCTAGAATTCTTTAACAAAAGGTTAATAAGAGAAAAACAGTTTATGTGCATGCATTGCACATCACGCAGGAGAAACCTCGACAAAAAAGTAACTCAAAGCAGTGACTTAGCATTTCAGCTTATATAGCATCTTCAGAAGAACAATAAATTTGGAGAGAAACAATTAGGCAAATGAAAGCAGCTTAGGCTTCCAAGGGTGCAACTATGGGAAGGTAAATATGTGGGAGGAAACTAGCGGAGCAGGCTTGTTTGCAGATTCCTCTGGTGCCATCCCTGGGCTGAAGAGAGGCTGTCTCCAATCAAAGAATTTATATCCTGCCTTTAGGCAGAATAGGGGAATTCTTTTTTGCTTTCACTGCTGTTTAATTGCCTTCAGCTCTGAAATAATTTTAATGTCAAAGAGGCACATTTTTTGGTGACATACTCTTGGTTTCCTTCAAGAGATAATCATTGCAGAGCTGGCGTTTGAGCCCAGGCCTTTCTGACTTCGAGACTCATGCCTATGTTACTTGGGTGTTATGCAACATTACTTAGTAAAATTCCAGCAGCCACAAATTTTTATGTAAAGAAACCAGTTGTATATCCTTTTCCCCCCCTCTGGTTACAGCTTAGTTTTATTTGGTAAACAAAGGATGGAATACCCCCAAGGCATGACGGTGGGCTGACCCCTGAAGGAGTGGCCCCAACCCATCTGGCCCCCTCTTGTACTTTTTGTCTCCTCCCTCCAGCCTGCCCTACATAAATTAGGGCTAGCACCCATCATTGATCAGGAACAAGGCATGTTTGTTTCACCTGAGGTTTCTCCTTTGTTCCCTTTCCATGCCCTCGGTTGTATATCTTTAAGGAAATAGATACACATAAGAAAAATATTACATAAAAAGAATTCAAAACAGAATATGCCAGTAATTACTCTTAGGGAAAGAGAAGCCATCAAGTCACCAGAAATAGCAATCTAATAAGTATTCAAGAATTTATACACATGATGAGAAACGGCAAAATTCATGAAAGCAGAAAGTAACAAAAGTGCTAGGGTAGAACTTAACTGCTGGCACTGTTTTAAGCTTTTACATATATTAGCCCATATAGTCCTTACAAATTCTTTATAAGATGGATACGCTTGACTGGAGTTAGAATTCGAATCCAGGCATTTGACTTTAGAGCTGGTGGTTTTCAACTAGTTTCGCTTTTACTCCCTCCTCCCCACAGGAAATTTGGCAATGTCTGGAGACATATTTGGTTGTCATATTTGGGGACTGTTAACTGGCATCTTGTGGGTAGAAACCAGGAATGCCCTGAACTTCCTACAGTGTATATGACCTTACCCACAACATAGAATTATTGGGCCTAAAATGTCAGTAGTGTCAAGACTAAGAAACTCTGGTCTAAAGTTTTTGTTATGCTCCCGTCTCAGGAGGAACTGAAGCGTAGTGTCTTTATAATGCTTAGTATTAAGTGTTATGTAACTGTATTTGGTCATCCTTTAGAACTAAACAGAAATTGCTTTTCTTTTAGGTGAATCAATTCCAATAAGACTATTTTTAGCAGGATATGACCCAACTCCAACAATGAGAGATGTGAACAAAAAATTTTCAGTAAGGTACTTTTTGAATCTAGTCCTTGTTGATGAAGAAGACAGAAGGTACTTCAAGCAGCAGGTATGGTGCCACCTACATGGTATTTTGTTCTGTGGTGGTTCTAGAAAAGCACTCACTTTTCTAAGCTTTATTGTACTGAACAAGTGGGGATTTCTAAGTGAATGAAAACACTGAAAATGTGACACAGAAGTAAGGCATGAATGGATCTCTGTTGTGATCAGTCTCCTCCCAGTCATTCTGCAGGATTCCAGGATGGGCTATAATTTGGCAGGGCTTTTATTTTTTTCTCTTGAAACTTTTGTTTTTTATAAAAACAATATCTGCTTTTTGTTTTTTTAAAAAATCAGGCAAAAAACATTGAATTAAAGGTCAACAGAAATTCCACCACCATTGTGATAGTTTTCCGGACAAATTTGTGTATTTGTTTTTAGATCATATTATGCATGTTGATCTTTAATTTGCTTTTTCATTCAGTACTGTCTTGAAAAGATTTCCTTTATCAACAAATAAAGATTTCATTTTTCATGACTGTATCCACTTGATGGATTTTAGGTTTCCATTTTTCCCTAATTAAACAATCCTCTTATAAATGTCTTTGAGATGACCCAAATGTTTATCATAAAATTTGTTCTCATTTGAAAATCAGTTAAAAGCTTTTGGTGAATTCTGAGTAAAACCTGTGATTAGAATGGTCTTCTCTGTTCTGTATTGGAGTAATAAATATTCGAATGTCAGTTGAATGCTCAAAGCTAAATTGGAAATTATTCTGGGGGGAGAAAAGAAAGCATTCTGTGCTGAGGACTGTGAAGAATATAAAAGCTACCTTTTTACACATGGTTTTTCCTCACAATTCTCACATTGCATATATGTGGAAAAAGAAAAATTATATAATTAACGGAAAACTTATGGTTTGACAGCAATTTGAAAGAGAGAAAACTTATTCTGCTAATGCTGCCATAATGCTATATAATTAAACATAGGTGATTTATAACTTCAAATTAGATTATGTGAAATTTACAATTTAAAATCAATTACATATTATGACCTTATTGAGTAGTATATGCCTCCCATGGTCATTCATTTAGATGTTTAAATTCTGCTGTGTTGGTTAAAAAACAAACAGCCTGCTATGACTTCATGAAGCAAGTAATCTTAAGACTTTAGAAGATGAACCCCCCTGGTGGCTCAGGGGTAAAGAATCTGCTTGCTGACGCAGTGTCTGATCCCTGGTCTGGGAAGACCCCACATGCCGAGGAGCAGCTTAGCCTGTGTGCCCTGACTGTTGAGCCTGTGCTCTGGAGCCTGCGTGCCGCAGCTGCTGAAGCCCGCACGCCCTGCAGCCTGTGCTTCGCAGCAGAAGTCACCACAATGAGAAGCCTGTACACAGCAACTAGAGGGGGCTGCCCTCCTAGCTTAGGCGGTCAAGAATCTGCCTGCAACGCAGGAGATTGGGGGGCGATCCCTGGGTCGGGAAGATCCCCTGGAGAAGGAAATGGCAACCCACTCCAGTATTCTTGCCTGGAGAAAATCCCATGGACAGAGGAGCCTGGTAGGCTACAGTCCATGGGGTCGCAAAGAGTCAGACACTTAGCCACTACACCACCACCACCACCTGCTCGCTGAATCTTGAGAAAAAGCCTGTGCAGCAACAAAGACCAGGCACTGCCAAAAATAAAATTATTATTTTTAAAAAAGTTTAGAAGAGATCTCAGGATGGATTGGTTAGGGTAAGACAGGCAGAGGAATCAAGATTAGAAGAATATAAAGGGGAGGATGAAGGGAAGGTTTAATTTAAGGTGTGTTAGAGGAAGAGTGTAACCCAGTTTGGCTGGCGGGGTACTGGGACCTTGGTAGGGAAGAGTGATGTTAGTAAATTGGATAAAGGTTGTGGAGGACCTTGAACACTGGGTTGGAGATTTATCCTGGAGGAACTGAGAGCTACTGAAGAGTCATCCAAGCAATGTTTTACACTAGGCTGGCAATGATAGGTAGGACAGGTTAAAAAAGGGTTTCAGGCAAGGGAGGGAGAGCCATCTATCAGGAAGCTAAAATATTTAGTGACAAGGGCTTGAATTTGGATACGGACAGGGGAAACAAACTAAATAACAGATTTTAGGGATTCTTTAAAGCAGTAGTAGCTAGAACTTTGTGTCAGTTTGGATTCATAGTGGTGGTGTACATAGGTGTTGGTGGGAGTAGCAGAGTTGGCAGAAGGGGAGACCCATTATTAGAATAGTATTAGAATTGGAAAAAAGGTCCATCAGGAAAAGAGTAGAGCTTTTGTAGGGAAGAAGTTAGTTTTCTTATGGTTAAAATTGAAGTGCATTATTTCTGTGGTGAAAATTTAAGGCATAATATGAGAATATTAATTTGAGTATATTTGTTATCATGCATTTATTTTCTAGGAGATCATTTTGTGGAGAAAAGCTCCTGAAAAACTGAGGAAACAGAGAACAAACTTTCACCAGCGATTTGAATCACCAGAATCACAGGCTTCTGCTGAGCAGCCTGAAATGTGAACTGAATGGGAGAAAAAAAAGAAAAAAAACCTCCTATATCCGTGGAGGTTTAGGTTTGGCTGGTTAGAGATGGTGGCAGCGTGCAGGCAGGGAAAAGGCCAAAACTCCATTTATAATAGTCTTCCTTTATCTTACAGTGCTGAATTTATTTTATGACATAACTGTTCTTCGTGTATATACATTTAAAACGCTTTCTTTGAAACACTGGAACTTTCTTAAACTGCAGTTTTTTGGGTTTTTGTTCGTTTTTTTAACTGCACACTTTGATAATAAGCACTCAGATATACGTCAGCATAAACGTTATAAAGATTTTCATCTGAGTAGGTTGGTATTTGTACTTGTGCTTTTTTTTCTGCATAATGTTGATTATAAATTTTCTTCTCCTTTCTCATGCTATGATTACCTCTTACTCTTTCTACATGCAAAAAAAATTTGTGTTCAAATAAAATTAGAAAACCTGAGTGGCCCTTACAGCCTGCAAAGATTTAAAACATGGCATCTCAATATTTTTGAAAACTACATTTATGTTTTTCTATATGTGTTTGAGAAATGCATACGAGTGTTTCGCTGTAGGTGCCTCTGAGTCTACCACTCCATGGCTCCCTGGATTTTGTTCTCTTTGAAATCTTCTGTGGCACATTAAATTTTCCCCCTAAGGGATTACGTAGCATGTCATTGCAGCTTTTTTTTGGGGGGGGGGGGGGCATATTAAGTAACCAATTTGCTACTGCTGTCCAACAGGTACCACTGTATGTTTTCTGCAGTGTGGAGTGGATTCTATGTTGGCAGTTTAGAATTTGTTAAAACTATATGATTGTTCCATAATACTTTGAAAAAAGTTTTTTTTGATTTAAGGAATCTTTTTAGCACTTGTACGCAAATATAAAGTTTCTTGCAAATATTCTCTTTTCAGGAGAAAATTGAGGATGAGGGCACTCAGGAGAACTGGTGAAGCATGTAGTTATCCAGATCTGGACAATTTCACACTTGTTAAATCAGAACCTTGACTAGTTCAAACTCAAATTTAAACTTCTTTGTCCACTATGTTTAAATTTTTTTAACATTAAATTCAAGCATTGTTCAAAGCCTCTAAAAAAGAAGGTTACAGTCATCTGTTTTTATGCTATGCATGGGGTATGATCTCAGATACACTAAATATGGGGCGTAGGAACTAAAACCTGATGTATGAAACTACTTTCACTTATGGTTCATTGGTTTTTGTACCAATATTTTTTTATACACTTCAGTGCAAGTCTTGTTAGTTAACCTTACTTTATGAGTAAACTAAGTAACCCAAATTACATTTCTTTAAGCCTATTTTACTACTGTGGCTCTTTGAAAAATGGTCAGTAACCAACTTCTTAACTGGCAAAAAGTTCCATGTGCTGGAGCACCAGTTATAAATGTGGATATCTGTGAATGATGATGTTTTCCTTCATGTAAGTGCCTGTTCAGAGTTTCAAAATTTTAAAATGCCAAATATTTTCATGGTCACTTGCATGTAGTAATCTGGAAAATATTCAAAGAAAAATTGAAAACCAATTGTATTTAACCAGCCTCAAATTGTGCAACCATGATGTATAATAAAGAATTTGAAACATATTAAGCTTGCTGTTTGAATGATTAAAATATTTATATTCTGAAATCTCTTCTCATTGTCATATTTATCTTTGAGGACAAAATTGCTCACTAGTTTAAGAAGCTGTAATTGTGATGATTAGAAGTTTTTACAAATATCAATTTCAATTTTAAATATATAATTACTTTTAACTAGATGGCTTAAAACACTGTCATAAATAGGATGCTTATTCAGCTTGCTTGAGAGTTTGTGCATAACCAATTTGAAAAATAAAAATTTGAACAGCATTTGGTGAACTGTAAATAAGTAAATCTGTTAATTAGAAATGAACTGAAAAAAATTTGTGTCTATTAGAGTACAGTATCTAATGCAGTGGTTCTCAACCCTGGCTGCATGTTCTTTCTTTTTTTCATTTATTTTTATTAGTTGGAGGCTAATTACTTTACAAATAATACTTTATAAACTGTTTTTTAAAAATAATCATGCCAAATCCTATCCAGGCCAATAAAATCAGAATTTCAGGGGCTCGGACATCAGCGTTTAAAAACTACCCAGTTATGAGAACCATTGTTCAAACCATTTAATTAGTTATTTCTCTCACTGGTGAAGTTTTCATTGTTTTGAATTGCTAGGGAGGAAAAACTTCTCTCTGCTGTCTTTTGTGTTTGAGAGCCTACTATTAAACTGACAGATTAGCAAAAGAAAAGGATTCTAATTGAGTTAGAGGACATTCACAAAAATGTGACTTACAGGGGTGGTTAGAATTTGAGGGTTGTTTACCATCTTGCTAGAGGAATGGGGGTGAAGGATACAACTGACTTAGTAGGGGAAGCTGTGGGGAGAAAGGAGCACTAATGGGAAAGTGGATGACATTTAGGAAAGATAAAGGGTCCTTAGGAGAACAGGTGGTAGATACGAGCATTCTGTAACCAAAGTCTGTTTAGGTGTTATGCCAGTTTCTCACAGTGATGAGTTAATCCTTCATTTTGCTCCCTGTGAGGGGATTTATGGCAGTGGAGTTCTGGGAGGCTCTGCACTTAGGCAGCCAGGATTTCAGGAACTCAAATGCATTCTATTAAGAATTTTATGCCACAGTGGTGTATTCTGGATCCCTTCAATGTGGATCAAGTAGTTGGAATATTCTAATTACTCTGTGAGTCAGCAGTGTTTAATTCCTTTGATATTCAGCTGAATCTGAACATACATAAAGGCCCTCTCGAGCAGGTTTATACGTGCCTGGATTGAAATGTAACACATTTTACAGTTTCAAATCAGATAAAAGCAGAGTGAGGAAAATGTGCACCCTTAAAAAACATTGTTTTTTATTTAGGCTTGAGGTCTTATGTCACTTCCCTGTTGAGAATCTTTTAGTTAACCCAATTGCAGGAAAGGTTCTAAATCTATATTACAAAACACCTTCAGCTCCAGTTATGTCAGATTTCTTGGAGAATACGTTCCCTTATGCCGGCCCTTCAGTTAAGACTCCAGACCATTTTTGTCTGAAACCATCTCTCTCTCTTAAGTCAAAGTGTTACATGTCCCTTCATTGTGCTGACAAGTCATGCCAGGCACATCTCCAAGACTGTTTACCCCACTTTTAGAAGAGTTTTTAATTGTATGGACTTAGTATGGCTCTTGGGGGTTCAGCCTGTTTTGTTCTGCTATACTTTGTGCTTATAATACACATTAAAATATCTGAGAGAATGGATGACGCTTATTTTCCTAGAGTGATTATAAAATTAAAGTGGCCTCCTTTAGAAAAAAAATTGTCTACATGTAGTAACATTATGGTAAGAACTGTTAATGCAACTTAGAATTGTTAGAATAAAGGAAATAGACTAGATTCTAGGGATCTTATCAGGTTCTGGAGAAAAAGCGAGGCAGCAGAGCAGCACCATGTGGACACTACAAGGTCTACAAATGCACTTGACAGTTGGCTCCCTTCCTGACAGGGAGCCTGGACCAGATAAGCTCTGAGACCCCGTCCATGATTCTAAGGGATAAACAATTTGGCATCTAGATCATGATAACCTTACATTAGAAAAAGGCCAGAAATGTCAAAGTACAGAATTTGTAGGGAGATGTGAGGGGGAGAAATCTAGAATGCATTTTTGGGAAACTCATAAACCAGGTTTTGTTAACAGCAAAGACAGAGAAGAGAGAACTTGCTTATTTTATTCCCTACCACAAGAGACATCTTTATTTCTCCCACTTCCCTTCCCTGTCCCACATTTGTTTGTTTTCACACACACATTCAGCATTTTCCTGAGTGTTTCTTTAGTGCTGTTTTATTGGCCCTACCCTGAAGGAACTATAACCCAGAGCACTGGTTCCCAAAGTATGGTCCCCAAACCATCAGGATCAGTATCACCTGAAAACATAAATTCCAACCTTGGGCACTAGGACAAACATTCTGAATCAGAAACTCCATAAGTAGGGCCCTAACAATTTTAACAAAATTTCCAGATGACTCTTATGCACCCTAAAGCTTGAGAACTACTACTCAAGAGACACAATTAAGATACAATTTTAGTGCTGTAACAGCAGTTGCACTTGACACTCTATGAGGTATGGACTTGAGAAATGATGGCATAACTTAACTGGCTTGTAGTTTTGACATGAATCATTCTTTGACCTCTCATTAGCTTATATATTATATAATTAGCTTATATATCATATAATTAATTTTGCATTAGTTAACATTAACCCTTCATATGACCAAAACCAGATCAGAAACTCTTTGAGGGCAAGAGGCTGTCTACTTGAATCCCTGATGTTTAGAAAGTATCCAGTGCATCAAAGGCACATAACATTGTTACTGAAATCCTACTTGACACACACTATTACAGGTCACATGACATATTTCTTCAAGTTGCAAGACCTTGATGTTTTAAGTATAATAAAGAGATACAAAAAATCCAACGGCCTACCTTGAATTTAATGTTTCAACTTCATATGAAACAGTATCCAACTAATGCAAAAGAAACTGAACTTTGGCCTGGGTACGGGACATATTTTTGCTATGCGGTTGTAACATAGCAGCATATGATGTACACACACTACTATTAAAGTATAAGAATTTACACGCATGTCATACAAAGGGTTTACCTAAGAACTCAGAATTCCTACGGTCCTGAGGGTAGATCAAGTTATGTTCTCTAACGCTATTCTATCCGGAAACTAAAGTTAATTATCCAAGGAACTTAAGGGAAATGCTCTGCAGTTTCCAATCCGCAAGGAACGCTGGCGCTACATCCCAGTACCCGCATCTCCACCAGAGGCATCCACACAGCTCACAGCTCTGCCCACGTGCTTTGAACACACACCGGTTCACGGCCAGTTTGTTAACATCACGTGACACACTTCACAGGCCCCCGTCTCTCATCTGTGACATCCCCAAAGGTGCCTGATTATTTTCTTTAAAGAAAGCTGTCTCCAATCGCCGATAAAAGAGAACAAGGACTTACAGGAACGTATCTTTTCTAATTTTCACTTCGAGGTTTTTACCCCCCTTTATGAGCAATTTTCCGGCTCTGCTTTTTCCTTATTGATCGGGCCTCTTCTAGGGCAGCTCCCCTGCTCTGGGTCTTTGAGGGCTTCCGGCACTGGCGGTTTGCGTCACTGTCGGTGGCCGCGCGTCACTGCCCGCCGCCGCGTCCCCCGGCTGCTCCAGCCCGCCTCCTTTGGAGCCTGCAGTCTCGATGTCCTTACCCCGGTGTGCCCTGTTGTGGGCTCGGCTCCCCGCGGGGCGCCAGGCTGGCCACCGGGCAGCCGTCTGCTCTGCCCTTCGTGCCCACACCGGGCCCTTTCCTGGGGCTCTGGGGCGCGTTCCTGCTATTGCCTGCGCCTCTTCCTCCGCCTCCGGAGGCTCCAAAGCGCCAAACACGTCCTTGTTCGTGCCGCTGACTGTGAAACCTCAGGGTCCTAGCGCAGATGGCGACGTCGGGGCTGAGCTAACCCGTCCTCTGGACAAGAGTGAGTGCAGGAGCCGGAGAGGGCGGCTAGGGTGCTTGGTGCAGGGCTGAGACGCTTCTCCGGGGAAGCTGCTTTTCCATCCCCTGGAGACCCAGGTCCCTTCGACCTTTGTCATTGTGCCTGTCAGTGCCTGCCTCCCTTGCTGGTTTTAAGCCCCTCAAGACTTGGGATTGTGTCTGATTGATCCTTTGATGTGCTGCCCTTGAACTGGCCTCCCTTTCACTGTTACCCTGGGAATGGTCTAAGTCCCCTTGTAACGGGACGATTCATCTTTTTTGATCCGTTGGGTGCACGACCGACTTTCTAGAATAGTCTTTCTCCCCCCCCCTCCCCCCATGCTTATAACTGTTGCTCCCAGAAGGGACACGGGAGTGGGGTGGTGAAAAGCCAGAGGAAGACTTCTTTCAGGACTTTTTGTCCTTGACTGGGTACCTACGCAAACCAGACACTGTTAGGCTGTATGGTGGTTGCCAAGAGGAACCAGACTCAGATCCAGATCTCTTCCGCTCCAGAAACTTACAGCCTTGTGGGAGGAAGGACCGATGGATGACCAACTATACTACACGGTAGAACACGATAAGGGTGAGCTTACCAAAGGTGGAAGGTACCCTGATCATCCAGGGCTCCAGAGAGAAAGCACTGGCTTAGCATCAGCAAATGGCAAGATCTAATCCTGTGGCACCCCTGCAAAAAATTGCTTAATGCTTTTCCATTGTCCCCAGTTTGAAAGGGTCCTCACCCCTTTCCTGATCTGGCCTGGGTAACTCTTGGAGAAGCTTTGTTGCACACCACTCTCCTTTCAGCCAGATTGATGAAATGGGCACTTGTGCTCCAGGGCTTTTTAGATATGCTACTCCCGCTGCCTAGAATATCTCTGTGGTTCCTTCTTTTTCTGAAAAATAACATTGGCTAACACTGAGTGTTAGAGACAGGTACTGTTCTAAACACGTGACCCATTTAATCTTCCTAAAAACCCTTATGAAGTACAGTTTTTATCCTTGACAAATCTTATTGAATGCCTACTATGTGCTACTTTCCAAGCACAC